GCAGCAGCAGCAGCAGACCTTGGTGTCGAGTGCTGCTGCTCTGCAGAAGCGAATCCAAGAGTGCAGCGAAATGGTTTTGCTGCTGGGGAAGTTGGCGAGGTGCTCGAAGGTGTACATACACTCGGAGAAAAGAATCAAAGAAAAAGACTGTGGGGTCCTGAGGTCTGAGGGGGCGGTGGGAACAGCAGCCCAGCAGCAGCAGTGCAGCAGCAGCAGCTCGCCGAGCGCGCTGCTGCTGCTGCTGCTGCTGCTGCTGCTGCTGCTGCTGCTCGCCGTCGTCGCAGTCGTCGCAGTCCGCCGGCTGCTTATCTGGCTGTAGCAGCAGCTCGACAGCCAGCTCTCCTGCTGCTGCTGCTGCTGCTGCCGCCGCTGCAGCAGGAACGGGGTGCTGCCCTGCTGCTGCTGCTGCTCGCCCCCAGCAGCAGCAGCAGCAGCAGCAGCAGCAGCGGGCAAAGCCGCGTCCTCAGAACCAGTGTCCGGAGTTGCTGCGGAGCACCCGTCTGCTTCCGTGCTCCTTGCTGCTGCACTTGAAGGGCAGCAGCAGCCCCTCTTGCTGCTGCTGCTGCTGCTGCTGCTGCTGCTGCTGCTGCTGCTTGAGGCACCCCCGCCCTCCTCGCTGCTGCTGCGGCGGCTGCGGCTGCTGCTGCTGTTGCGCCGGCGACTGCAGCAGCTACGCACTGAAGCGCTTTCGCTCAATGCAGCCCCACCGATCTGCTGCTGCTGCTGCTGCTGCTGCTGCTGCTGCTGTTCTTCATGCAGCTCACTTTGCTGCTCATGTTGCTTTTGCCGTTGCTGCTGCTGCTGCTTCAGGCCTTCTCGTGCTTTGGAATCGGTCGACGCAGCTCGAGTGTTGCTGCTGCTGCCTTGCAGCTGCTGCTGCCGCTGCTGCTGCTGCTGCTGCTGCTGCTGCTGCTGCTGTAGGCATGTGGCGCGGCGTTTGCTGCTGAGTACTCTGAGGAGTCTGGAGTCTGGCGCTTGCGCTCTCCTGTTGCTGCTGCTGCTGCTGCTGCTGTTGCTGCTGCGGAGCCGCTGTTGCTGCTGGCTGTGCAGCTGCAGCTGCCGCTGGTGCTGCTCCTTGTGGCGCTGCTGCCTTGCTTTGTAAGAAGCAGCAGCAGCAGCTGCTGCTGCTGAGCTAGCAGCAGCAGCAGCTGCTGCTGCTGCTGCGTGTCGTTTAAGCGCATCTCGGTAGCGGGCCTGTAGTGTCCTAGGGTTTGCCGCAGCTTCCGCTGCTGCGGGTTCTGCTGCTGCAGCAGCAGCAGACGACTTCTGCTGCTGCTGCAGCTGCTGCTGTTGCTGCTGCTGCTGCTGCTGTTGCTGTTGCTGCTGCTGCTGCTGTTGCTGCGGCGGCGGCGTCGCCCGTAGCTCGTCATCGCTCGTAGGCCACGGAGGAGGCGTGACATTAGCAGCAGCAGCAGCAGCTGCTGCAGCAACTGCAGCAGTTGATGCAGCAGCAGGTGCTGCCCCTGCTGCACTTGCTGCTGCAGCTTCTGCCGGCTGCTTATCCTGTGCTGCAGCCCCACCATGCTGCTGCTGTTGCTGCTGCTGCTTCTTGTCGTGCCTGTGTTGCTGCCGCTGCTTCCGGGCAGCTGCCGCAGCAGCTTTTGGCTGCAGCTGCTCCCTCCTGCTGGGCTGCGGCGCAGCAGCAGCAGCAGCAGCTGCTGCTGCTGCTGCTGCTGGCGACAGCAACGACAAATAAACCAAAATTAAAGCTTCTCGCAGCAGCGGCTCCTTCACCCTTCTGTCAACCACACTTTCTTTCGTGCTGCTGTAGCCCCCAGGACCCTCTGCTTCGTAATCTGCAGCAGCAGCAGCAGCAGCAGCAGCAGGTGCAGCAGCAGCAGACGCAGCAGCGGCGCAGCAGCGGATACAGCAGCGCATACAACGGCAGGGCAGCATGCACAGCAGCAGCAAACCTAGCAGCAGATACTGCAGCAGCAAGAGATAACTTGCAGCACACAGCAGAAGCAACAGCAGCAGCAGCAACAGCAACAGCAGCAGCAGCAGCAACAGCAACAGCAGCAGCAGCAGACCTGTCCTGAGGGAAGGATTAGAGTTGATTTCGAGCAGCCACAACTTGTGCTTCGCATCAAGCAGCAGGTCGAAGCCCAGAATCTGGAAACACCGCCCCCGCTGCTGCTGCTGCTGCTGCTGCTGCTGCTGCTGCTGCTGCTGTGGGGTGTCTGTACACCAGAGCGCCCGGTACTTCAAAGACAGCAAAGGCCCCAACAGCCGCACAGTGCGGGAGACTATCTCCTGCAGCTGCTGCCAGAAATTGTCTGTGTCTACTCCTGCAGCAGCAGCAGCAGCAGCAGCAACAGCAGCAGCAGCAGCAGCAGCAGCAGCAGCAAATGAGCAGCTGGGGAGTCCGAACGAAGCCCACAGCGCGGCAAACGCGGAACTGAGCAGCAGATAAAGGAATAAAAGAAATAAAGAATAAAAAATGAATTAAATTAATTAAATTAAATTAATTAAATTAATTAAATTAAATTAATTAAATTAATTAAATTAATTTAATTAATTAAATTAAATAATAAAGAACTTGCCGTGCATCGCCAACTCCTCCAAAACGTCTTCAAGCACTCTTTTGCTCGAGTCGCTGTCGTGGGGGTTCGAACTCCTGCAGCAAATTAAAATAAATAAATAAATAAATAAATAAATAAATAAATAAATAAATAATAAATAAATAAATAAATAAATAAATAAATAAATAAATAAATAAATAAATTAGAAGTGGATGCGGCTGCTGTGAGCAGCACGATGCTGCAGCAGCAGCAGCAGCAGCAGCGTCGTGCTGCAGCAGGAGCAGCTGCATTGCGCAGCAGCAGCGACAGCAGCAGCAGCAGCAGACTTAGCGACAGCAGCAGCAGCAGCAGCACCAAGAGCAGAAACAGCAGCAGCAGCAGCAGCAGCAGCAGCAAACCAACCTTTTGAACGCGGGGTGTTTTTTATTGAGAGCATAGTTCGTCAAATGGGCATTTACACTCCAGCTGCTGCTGCTGCTGCTGCTGCTGTCTGCTGCAGCAGCAGCAGCAGCAGCAGGATAATCTTCAGTGCAGAAGCGGACCAGCCCCCGTCTTGAAAGGAAGACCTAAACAAACAAAAATAGAAAACAAAAATAATAAAATAATTAAAAATAAATAAATAAATAAATAAAAAGAATTAATAAAATAAATATAAATATAAATTAATAAAGAAGTACATATCAATACACAATTTGAATGTGAAAACTTTCACCTGCTGCATGCAAGCACAGCAGCAGCAGCAGCAGCAGCAGCAGCAGAGCTCAGCTCAGCAGCAGCAGCAGCAGCACAGCAGCAACACACGCAGAAGCAGCAGCAGCACTGGCAGCAGCAGCACAAGCAACAGCAGCAAGCGCCGCAGCACAACCACCACCATCAGCAGCAGCAGCAAGATCATCATCCTCAGCAGCAGCAGCAGCAGCACCGCCAGCAGCAGCAGCAGCACCATCACCAGCAGCAGCATCATCGCCAGCAGCAGCAGCACTATCATCATCGCCCCCAGCAGCAGCAGCAGCAGCACCGCCAGCAGCAGCAGCACCATCACCAGCAGCAGCATCATCGCCGGCAGCAGCAGCAGCATTATCATCATCGCCCGCAGCAGCAGCAGCAGCAGCAGCAGCAGCAGCAGCAGGAGCAGCAGCAGCAGCGTGCCTGGAGGTGCGGGTAAACGCCCAGCAGCAAAACGTAAACCCTAAAGTCGAACTTTTTGCTGTTGAGGAGAAAAGGGTTTTGGATATATTGCTGCGCAATGTAAAGATCTGCTGCTGCTCCCTGCAGCACTGCAGCAGGAACATCTGCTGCTGCTGCTGCCAGCAGCACGCCGCTGCCTTGGCAGCCAAACAGCGGCTTCAGAATCCACAACTTTGCTGCTGCTGCTGCTGCTGCTGCTGCTGCGCCGTCGCGCGCGTTGCTGCTCTCCCCGCTGCTGCCTTCCCACAGCCCAAACAGCCCTCCCCCGTAGCTGCTGCTGCTGCTGCTGCTGCTGCTGCTGCTGCTGCTGCGGCGCTGCTGCTGCAGCGCCAAGGCCTGAGATGAAGGCGGAGACAAAGTCCTAGGCCCAAATGACTGCAGCAGCAAATTGCTGCTGTCCGGCAGCAGCAAAGTTTTCGGGTAAAAAGAAAACAACGCCGGCTCCAACTCCTGCGCGCAACAAACCCTAAACCCTAAACCCTAAACCCTAAACCCTAAACCCTAAACAAGCGAATAAGCTGCCACTGACGGCGCAAGCCATTCTTGCCGCTCCCTCGCCGCAGCAGCAGCACTCCTGCTGCTGCTGCTGTCCCCTGCCCCCCGTCACCCCTGCTGCTGCTGCTGCTGCTGCCGCTGCTGCTGCTGCTGCTGCTGCTGCTGCTGCTGCTGCTGCTGCTGCTTGCCTGCATGGCTCCAATCAAGAAGCAAAGCCAGTGCTTTGCTGCCAGCTCAGCAGCAAAAGGGAATTTGCTGAAAACCCTCGAAGGAGGAGCAGCAGCAGCAAGAGCAGCAAACTCTTCGTCCGAAGGGCTGCAGCCAATCCACACCAGGTCTCCTGAAAACAAATAAATAAATAAATAAATAAATAAATAAATAAATAAATAAATAATAAATAAATAAATAAATAATAAATAATAATTAATTAATTACATTGAGATTCAAGTTAATTGGTGATTGGAGGGGGTCGCAGCAGCAGCAGCAGCAGCAGCAGCAGCAAGGCAGCAGCAGCAGCAGCAGGAACTGCAGCAGCAGCAACCCCGGAAGCGGCCACAGCAGTAACGCCGCGGCCACTCGCAGCAGCAGCAGCAAAGGCAGAAGCAGCAGCAGCAGCAAAGGCAGAAGCAGCAGCAGCAGCAAAAGTAACAGCAGCAGCAGCAGCAGCAGGAACAAACGCAGCAGCAGCGCCAAACGCGCAGCTGCAGCAGCAGCGCAAACACCAGAGCAACTGCCGCAGCAGCAGCAGCAGCAGCAGCAGCAGCAGCAGCAGCAGCAGCAGCAGCAGCAGCAGCA